AGCTGTGTGATACTGTTTTATAAATGAGAACTTTCATTTATAGGGCTCCATCTTAGAGGATGATGATGACATGCAGTCTGTGCAGGGAACAATGATGGAGTCTCGTCTGGCAGTAACCGGAGAGCGAGCGTAAGCTTACACCGAGACGCACAGTGTTCCACACTGAATCATTAATGTGCGCCTGCCCAGGCCACGCTCTGCTGGGTACTGGTACGGAGCAAGTACACGGATCAGGAGTTATGGCTTCTCTAGCTGTACACTTTTTCCAGGCCAGAAGCCAGAGGACAAGCATAACAGCCAGCAAAGGTCTGCATCGTCCAATTTCCACAAACCCAAATGCAACTTGTTGTGCTGCCCAGAAAGGGAGCGTTGGCAATAAGCGGCTGGACATAGCGGGAACAATACAGAACATTAATGGCTGATTCAATGTAGACTTCATAGTAGGAAAGATCACCAGATAATGCCTCCCAGGCAGTCACCCCCCCTGAAGCCAATCTGGATTATAACTGGCAATGGGATCACCTCATTATCAGGCTGCGGATTGGTTGCTATGGGTTACAGCAGCTTGCTTTATACACCGCTTCCCTGAATGAGGTCACAGCGCGAGTTCTGCAGCCAGGAACACAGACGGTGCCGTTATCACAGAACAGTCACTCAGATGCTGCCTCCTCTAATCCCTTACACAGGGCTGACCAGCTCCGCCATTGATTGCTCATCCCCCGGAGCACCTTACTATGGCGACCAGTTAACCCCCCCCTTGTTCCTGGCTCTGGAGTCCCCCCTCTGGCCTAGATTCACTGCTCTGCGGATTGCATGGAGAGTCATGTGACCCCCTCCGGTCAGATTACAGAAGAGGGATGAGCTGACACGACATTGTGAATAGCAGGACGTAATGTGGCTTCAGACAAGGGGCAGCAGCACAGGGATTCCCAGGACCCGTTTACATGAAGTGAAAGGCAACATTTCACCATTTCTACATCTGCCGCTGCAATAACTGTGCTTCTGTTCACATATTATGTATACACAGCCGTACGGCGGCCATATTTGCTTAATATACAGACACGCTCTGCTTGCTGTGATTGTGCATTACTGTTCCACTCTCATGAAAATCTCTCTCCTTTTGGTCAGACCTACTGAAAACAATATAATCTGTAGGTGGTTTATCCTGTTACAGATTTAATTCCAGCAGTTGTTTAGCAGAGATCCTGCTTGCTCATTGGACACAGAGATATGCTGCAAGGTAAATAAATGTCTAGTCTGCTGGGATGGTGTCACAAAACAGAGGGCAGTAACCCATAGCAACCACCCTACAATCCTCCGACAAGAGGGTGGTTTCAGTAGGTGAGAAATGACAGTAAATAGGTCACTTCGTGTTCCATAAACAGAGGCCCTGAATCATGTCAGTCAGGTGAGAACATGAAAACTTACTTGATCCGGTCTCCTTCTGTCAGCGTTTCCTGAAAAAAAAGATAGAAGAGGGTCAGTCACCGTCATCATTATACCCCCTCCATCAGCTCCATGCACTGCGTATCCCTCCCTGTCACTGTCCCATCATGGGTCCAAAGTACCCCTTCACATCACTGGCCCAATGTACCACTCCCCACCACAGCCCCATCACTGGCCCAATGTACCCCTCCTGACCACAGCCCCATCACTGGCCCAATGTACCCCTCCCGACCACTAGCCCAACGTACCCCTCCCCACCACAGCCCCATCAGTGGCCCAATGTACCCCTCCCGACCACTAGCCCAACGTACCCCTCCCCACCACAGCCCCATCAGTGGCCCAATGTACCCCTCCCGACCACTAGCCCAACGTACCCCTCCCCACCACAGCCCCATCAGTGGCCCAATGTACCCCTCCCGACCACTAGCCCAACGTACCCCTCCCCACCACAGCCCCATCAGTGGCCCAATGTACCCCTCCCGACCACTAGCCCAACGTACCCCTCCCCACCACAGCCCCATCAGTGGCCCAATGTACCCCTCCCGACCACTAGCCCAACGTACCCCTCCCCACCACAGCCCCATCAGTGGCCCAATGTACCCCTCCCGACCACTAGCCCAACGTACCCCTCCCCACCACAGCCCCATCAGTGGCCCAATGTACCCCTCCCGACCACTAGCCCAACGTACCCCTCCCCACCACAGCCCCATCAGTGGCCCAATGTACCCCTCCCGACCACTAGCCCAACGTACCCCTCCCCACCACAGCCCCATCAGTGGCCCAATGTACCCCTCCCGACCACTAGCCCAACGTACCCCTCCCCACCACAGCCCCATCAGTGGCCCAATGTACCCCTCCCGACCACTAGCCCAACGTACCCCTCCCCACCACAGCCCCATCAGTGGCCCAATGTACCCCTCCCGACCACTAGCCCAACGTACCCCTCCCCACCACAGCCCCATCAGTGGCCCAATGTACCCCTCCCGACCACTAGCCCAACGTACCCCTCCCCACCACAGCCCCATCAGTGGCCCAATGTACCCCTCCCGACCACTAGCCCAACGTACCCCTCCCCACCACAGCCCCATCAGTGGCCCAATGTACCCCTCCCGACCACTAGCCCAACGTACCCCTCCCCACCACAGCCCCATCAGTGGCCCAATGTACCCCTCCCGACCACTAGCCCAACGTACCCCTCCCCACCACAGCCCCATCAGTGGCCCAATGTACCCCTCCCGACCACTAGCCCAACGTACCCCTCCCCACCACAGCCCCATCAGTGGCCCAATGTACCCCTCCCGACCACTAGCCCAACGTACCCCTCCCCACCACAGCCCCATCAGTGGCCCAATGTACCCCTCCCGACCACTAGCCCAACGTACCCCTCCCCACCACAGCCCCATCAGTGGCCCAATGTACCCCTCCCGACCACTAGCCCAACGTACCCCTCCCCACCACAGCCCCATCAGTGGCCCAATGTACCCCTCCCGACCACTAGCCCAACGTACCCCTCCCCACCACAGCCCCATCAGTGGCCCAATGTACCCCTCCCGACCACTAGCCCAACGTACCCCTCCCCACCACAGCCCCATCAGTGGCCCAATGTACCCCTCCCGACCACTAGCCCAACGTACCCCTCCCCACCACAGCCCCATCAGTGGCCCAATGTACCCCTCCCGACCACTAGCCCAACGTACCCCTCCCCACCACAGCCCCATCAGTGGCCCAATGTACCCCTCCCGACCACTAGCCCAACGTACCCCTCCCCACCACAGCCCCATCAGTGGCCCAATGTACCCCTCCCGACCACTAGCCCAACGTACCCCTCCCCACCACAGCCCCATCAGTGGCCCAATGTACCCCTCCCGACCACTAGCCCAACGTACCCCTCCCCACCACAGCCCCATCAGTGGCCCAATGTACCCCTCCCGACCACTAGCCCAACGTACCCCTCCCCACCACAGCCCCATCAGTGGCCCAATGTACCCCTCCCGACCACTAGCCCAACGTACCCCTCCCCACCACAGCCCCATCAGTGGCCCAATGTACCCCTCCCGACCACTAGCCCAACGTACCCCTCCCCACCACAGCCCCATCAGTGGCCCAATGTACCCCTCCCGACCACTAGCCCAACGTACCCCTCCCCACCACAGCCCCATCAGTGGCCCAATGTACCCCTCCCGACCACTAGCCCAACGTACCCCTCCCCACCACAGCCCCATCAGTGGCCCAATGTACCCCTCCCGACCACTAGCCCAACGTACCCCTCCCCACCACAGCCCCATCAGTGGCCCAATGTACCCCTCCCGACCACTAGCCCAACGTACCCCTCCCCACCACAGCCCCATCAGTGGCCCAATGTACCCCTCCCGACCACTAGCCCAACGTACCCCTCCCCACCACAGCCCCATCAGTGGCCCAATGTACCCCTCCCGACCACTAGCCCAACGTACCCCTCCCCACCACAGCCCCATCAGTGGCCCAATGTACCCCTCCCGACCACTAGCCCAACGTACCCCTCCCCACCACAGCCCCATCAGTGGCCCAATGTACCCCTCCCGACCACTAGCCCAACGTACCCCTCCCCACCACAGCCCCATCAGTGGCCCAATGTACCCCTCCCGACCACTAGCCCAACGTACCCCTCCCCACCACAGCCCCATCAGTGGCCCAATGTACCCCTCCCGACCACTAGCCCAACGTACCCCTCCCCACCACAGCCCCATCAGTGGCCCAATGTACCCCTCCCGACCACTAGCCCAACGTACCCCTCCCCACCACAGCCCCATCAGTGGCCCAATGTACCCCTCCCGACCACTAGCCCAACGTACCCCTCCCCACCACAGCCCCATCAGTGGCCCAATGTACCCCTCCCGACCACTAGCCCAACGTACCCCTCCCCACCACAGCCCCATCAGTGGCCCAATGTACCCCTCCCCACCACAGCCCCATCACTGGCCCAACGTACCCCTCCCCACCACAGTCCCATCACTGGCCCAATGTAACCTTCCCCACCACAGTACCCCTTCACATCACAGCCCCAACGTACCCCTCCCGACCACAGCCCCATCACTGACCCAATGTACCCCTGCCCACTATAGTCCATAACTAGCCCAATGTACCCCTTGCCACCACAGTCTGTCACTGGTCCAATGTGCCTCTTGTACTGCACACCCTTACCCATCACACTCACACCACTGCATACATTAATGTCCACTATACTGCGCACCCATCCCCTCCATACCTTGTACAGCTCACCTCTACACTCTCATCAACCCTTGCACCCCTTCCTACACCGCCACTCCTCTGTGCAGTGCACCCCCTCCTTGCCCCACTCCCATCCTCCCAGGTCCCCCCATATTGTGCACTAATCCCAACCACACACCCATCAACTCCCCATGCACCGTATACTCTTCACTACCATACTCAGATTACTAAGTTATACAAATACAGATTTTGATGACATGGCACATATCAAGCTTCGCTATATACACAACCAATAAGGTTTCAAATAGAATTGTATTTATATTTCCATTTGCAGTGCAGCTATGGATGACCTCCGGCTCCTGTCACTGCGGCTCAGTGCACATCGGCATTTTCACTCATCTCTCCTATTCATGTACCATATATGACAATGCGCCTTCCCCGGGAAAACACATGAACATGGATTCTCTGCACAACAAAGGACAATGTGATCCAATTCAGTCCAAGGGACTCCCAAAACTCTTCTCGATATACGCAGATTACTGACATATCCAGACGCAGCCATTCCATATTCATGGCTGGATGATCCTATCACTGGGAGAATACCAGAGACGTCACAGATATGAGAATTACTGAATTATTAGGTAACACTCCAGCAAAGATCAAATCTATACAAAAAATTCCCCCCCGGGAAATGTTCTTCCTGTGTCAGGCTGTATGAGAAGCACGGTATGGTATTGGTGATACACGCACCGCACCCCGTCCATCACCGACACAAGCTCCCTGATCTCTCTCTGACATGGGTCAGAATGTGTCTGGAATGTCTGCTGGCTCTAATGGCAATGGCACCCAATTAGAAAGGGTTCAGTAAAAAGCAAAACCCAATAAAATGAACACAGACAGGGAAGGGGGTTTCCTATAAAGCTGTGAGCAGGATAACGATATGAGAAAACATTAAACACAAGAGTACTTGGTGCAAGTAATACACCGAGCCGGTGTCACCGATATAATAACATTGGTGCCAGGATCACCAAAACAGAAAAGAGGCCAAAAATCAAAGCAATGTCCTCAGGGTAAGGAAGGTCTCTATGTGAGAAAGACACGGGTCTAAGGGTTGGAGGTCTCCAGAAAAAAAGGTTTTGACATGAGGAGGTCACACAGAGGCGAAATAGATGAACTGAGCAGTGAAAAAAAAGATAGGAGGTTACAGCATAGGATGGAGGACAGATTGCCGATGCAGGAGGTAGAAAAGGAGGACAGGGGACAAAGGCCAGGGATGGAGGAAAGGAAAGAGAATGGAACATGGGGAGTAGAGGCCAGGGATGGAGGACAGGCAAGGGACAATAGAAGATAGAGGGGGTAGAGACCGCAGATGGAGGACAGGAAAGAGGATGGAAAATAAGGGGAAGAGGCCAGGAATGAAGGACAGGCAAGGGACGATGGAAGATAGGGGGGTAGAGGTGAACATTGACGAGAGGGGAAAGCACATGGAGGACAAGAAAAAGATCATATAGAGGCCGAGGATGGAGGATAAGAGACCCGGGAATAATGACAAAAGAAGAGTAATGGGAGATGGTGAGCATTCTGGGGAGGACAGAAGAAGAATGTTGGGGACACAGTATAGAAAAAACAGGGTACAGGGCATGGAGGGCTGAGAACGGAGGACAGGAGATGGTGATGTGATGGGATTGGTGGGATGTCAGCAGGAAACATGGTTTGGCCTCATCAATGGGTGATGGGTAAATCGATTGCTGAGATTCAGGACAACATCCATGGAACGGGGACATGAAGGTGACGTCATGGAACACTAACCTTCTTTCCAGTAGTATTAGGTGACGGCGATGCACGAGGCGAGGGGCTTTTTCCCTCGGGGCTCCAGTGAGACACCGATGAGAGGGACTCGGTATCCGGGTAGCCGAGCTCCGACGGGGTCTGGGAACGCTCTTTGCTGTATTGTGTGGTTGATTTGCCTTTATTGCCCTCCTTGGCTTCTGACTCTGGGGAAGTGTGCCCAGAAAATGAAAGCCCAGCATAGTCAGACCCGGCTGGCCCGCACTTCGTTCTCTCCCTGGTGTCCGGTGACCTTTTCTGGCCGCTCTGGTGACCAGGAGACATGGATCTCCGTCTCCCTGTCCTTTCCAAACTCTTCTTGTTCCCGTCCTCTACGGCGGCTCCAGTGCTGTTTCCAGGTGTTCTTATAGCAGAACCTGGACCTTCCTCATCCGTGCTAGCACCGACTCCTCTCGGCCTGGTGGCCTGCAGATTTGTCGGGCTCAGTACCCTAGAGGTGATCTCATCCAGGAACCTGGAGAAGTTGGCTTTGTCTTGCTGGCTCTTCCTATCTGGTGATGGTGATCTGCCTCTCCCTGCATCCCCCTGTGATGGCGACAAAGCGAGCGGAGATCGCGCTTTCTCGCAACGGGTCTTGCCTGGATGTGATTTGGGGCTGATGCTCAGGGTGCCAGGGTGTTTCAGGATACTTTTCAGAGGCTGAGATGTGGCTGACTGGCGAGTTTTTTTTGGTGCCAAGACTTCTGCCGGCTCTTTGAAGACCAGGCTACGCTCCAGGCTGCGGCTTTTGCCCTTGTGTACCACACCTTCCGACACGGCAACGTTCTCCTCGCTGCGGCTCAGGAACCTTCGCAGCCCCCTGAAACGCGAAGCTCGGCCCTGCTTTCCCCGAATGCGGAGCGATTTCACCCTGCGGAGCAACGACTGTGATCTGACCCCACGCGTACCCTCCCAGTCGGCGTCCTTGTCATTGCTGGACGCTAGAGACCAGGAGGAGGAACAACTAATATTACTAACATCTGAGCCTTCGGCCTCCTTTAACTCCACAGCCACAGCTCTACTGAAACATGTTCTCTGGTAAACAGGCCCCCGAGGTGCAGTTACCTTACTTGGCTGCTCTGGAGTCTCCTCCCCCCGCGCTGCAGGTGGGTCATGGCGGCTCTCTCGGTGCTGTGGAGGAGCCTTGCGGTACGGTTTCTTGGAAGGGGCAACGCTGCTCATCCTGGATCCACGAGAAGTGCTTCTATGGAGGCAGAAGGTGTCAGGATGTTAGGTATAGGCTACACAGTACAGACATGGCACTGAGAACACAGAACAGGGAGCCACAGGCTGAGTATTGATCTGACAGTGGAGGAACTCTGATCAATTCAGCCAACAAATGGAACAAAGAGGGGGGAGGGGCAGCGGATACACAGTGACCTCAGCCACCAAAAATCAAACACCCAGGATGTGATGCAAGAGAACACTACACAAAGTTACAACCACATCTCAAACTGTGCAGTACGGTCATTGTACGGTGTTAAAGCGCTCTACATTGTGGCATGTGAGTGCACACACAGCTGAGTACTGTAAGTGCCAAAGTGTGCACGCAGCTCTGCAAGGTACATGAGAATGTGCACAAGCAGGTGCATGAGGTGATACAAGACAATGGGCTCCTCAGAACTAATCCAGGGCCCCGGTGAACCAGCATGTGATGGCTGATCCGACTCACCGCAAAAGCTGGACCCGGGATCAGCTGGAAGATCCTCCTCTGATCAGGACTCCTGAGAAGGGACAGACACACACATTACACACCAACATCAATGCGTACAGGGCGACACAACAAAAGATGCTTCTCTGGAGGCAGGAGGGTGAGGACAGAAGAGTGGGGAGGCCAGAGGACAAGAGAGCAAGGAGGCCAGAGTGTCAGGGGAGCCGGGCGAGGAGAGGCCAGAGTGTCAGGGGAGCCGGGCGAGGAGAGGCCAGAGTGATTCTCCTCGCTGCGGCTCAGGAACCTTCGCAGCCCCCTGAAACGCGAAGCTCGGCCCTGCTTTCCCCGAATGCGGAGCGATTTCACCCTGCGGAGCAACGACTGTGATCTGACCCCACGCGTACCCTCCCAGTCGGCGTCCTTGTCATTGCTGGACGCTAGAGACCAGGAGGAGGAACAACTAATATTACTAACATCTGAGCCTTCGGCCTCCTTTAACTCCACAGCCACAGCTCTACTGAAACATGTTCTCTGGTAAACAGGCCCCCGAGGTGCAGTTACCTTACTTGGCTGCTCTGGAGTCTCCTCCCCCCGCGCTGCAGGTGGGTCATGGCGGCTCTCTCGGTGCTGTGGAGGAGCCTTGCGGTACGGTTTCTTGGAAGGGGCAACGCTGCTCATCCTGGATCCACGAGAAGTGCTTCTATGGAGGCAGAAGGTGTCAGGATGTTAGGTATAGGCTACACAGTACAGACATGGCACTGAGAACACAGAACAGGGAGCCACAGGCTGAGTATTGATCTGACAGTGGAGGAACTCTGATCAATTCAGCCAACAAATGGAACAAAGAGGGGGGAGGGGCAGCGGATACACAGTGACCTCAGCCACCAAAAATCAAACACCCAGGATGTGATGCAAGAGAACACTACACAAAGTTACAACCACATCTCAAACTGTGCAGTACGGTCATTGTACGGTGTTAAAGCGCTCTACATTGTGGCATGTGAGTGCACACACAGCTGAGTACTGTAAGTGCCAAAGTGTGCACGCAGCTCTGCAAGGTACATGAGAATGTGCACAAGCAGGTGCATGAGGTGATACAAGACAATGGGCTCCTCAGAACTAATCCAGGGCCCCGGTGAACCAGCATGTGATGGCTGATCCGACTCACCGCAAAAGCTGGACCCGGGATCAGCTGGAAGATCCTCCTCTGATCAGGACTCCTGAGAAGGGACAGACACACACATTACACACCAACATCAATGCGTACAGGGCGACACAACAAAAGATGCTTCTCTGGAGGCAGGAGGGTGAGGACAGAAGAGTGGGGAGGCCAGAGGACAAGAGAGCAAGGAGGCCAGAGTGTCAGGGGAGCCGGGCGAGGAGAGGCCAGAGTGTCAGGGGAGCCGGGCGAGGAGAGGCCAGAGTGTCAGGGGAGCCGGGCGAGGAGAGGCCAGAGTGTCAGGGGAGATGGGCGAGGAGTCTGGAGAGTGAAGGGAACAGGAATGGGGGATAATGGAATGAATAGCGAGGTGGAGAGAGAGCAGAAAGAGCAAAGTGCAAGTCAGGTGACTTAAGGAATTCCACACAAGACATCAAATAACGGAGCTGGAGCAGCCGAACGGCCCCAGCATGAAACAAACAACACACAACTAGAATGCATGGAAATAATATATCAGGATAACTCCAGGTATGGGGAAGGGAGATGCTGGATACAGAGAGGGGCAATATTGGAATAATGCAGGTGCAAGAAAGGGAGAGATATCTGGTTACTGTTGGGTACAGGGAGGGGAGATATCAGGATAATCCTGGGTGTAAGGAGGGGGAGAAATTGGGATAATGGTGGTAAGGGTAAGGGGCTCACCTGATAAGGACGCTCCTCTGTAGACATGCATGCCACCATCTCTAGAGAGGGATCTGCAGTCTTTGTCCCAAGTCCTGGTTACACCGAAGTAATTCAAGCTGCTGGAATCAGCATCATACCTGTGAAATGTGAGCACAGACACCTGTCACCACAGCAGCCTACAGCGCAGTGCCAGTCAATGTTCCATGCCAATCCTCCCCATCTGATTTACACCTACCCATCCATATCACCATCCTCACCAGGTGACACAACTACTCGTCCCTATCTCCAGCCCATTCCCGTCCTCTCCACCTGACACACAGCTACCTGTCCTAATCCCCATCCCCTCCACCTGACACACACCTACCTGTCCTAATCTCTATCCAATCACCATCCGCTTCACCTGACACACACCTACCTGTCCTAATCCCCATCCCCTCCACCTGACACACACCTACCTGTCCTAATCTCTATCCAGCCACCTTCCTCCCCACTTAACACACCTATCTGTCTTCATCACCACACCATCCGACTCTGATCCTAGCAGACTGAAGAACCACAGTAGAAGGGAGTCTGACATTGTCATTATAACCAACAGGTTACAACTAACCTGTATTCACCAAGAGAGAGAGCCATCACCATAAAGTACTGTCCACAACAACTGGCAGAGGCAGCCATAATTATACATCATTGCTCTACAGCAATTGGCAGACAGAGCCATACAGCACTGCCTCCCTAACAATTGGCAGAGGGATCAGTCACCATACTGCACTGCTCTACAAACGGCAGAGGGAGCCGTCATCTAGGAGCACTGCTTCCCTAACAATTGGCAGAGGGATCAGTCATCATAGTGCACTGCCCTACAAACAACCGGCAGAGGGAGCAGTCACTATACAGCACTGCCCTACCACAACCCCCAGAGGGAGCCGTCACTATACAGCCCTGCTCTACAATAATCGGCAGAGGGATTACTCACCATATAGCACTACCCTACAACCACCAGCAAAGGGATCAGTCACTATGCAGCACTGCTCTACAACCACCAGCAAAGGGATCAGTCACTATGCAGCACTGCTCTACAACCACCAGCAAAGGGATCAGTCACTATGCAGCACTGCTCTACAACCACCAGCAAAGGGATCAGTCACTATGCAGCACTGCTCTACAACCACCAGCAAAGGGATCAGTCACTATGCAGCACTGCTCTACAACCACCAGCAAAGGGATCAGTCACTATGCAGCACTGCTCTACAACCACCAGCAAAGGGATCAGTCACTATGCAGCACTGCTCTACAACCACCAGCAAAGGGATCAGTCACTATGCAGCACTGCTCTACAACCACCAGCAAAGGGATCAGTCACTATGCAGCACTGCTCTACAACCACCAGCAAAGGGATCAGTCACTATGCAGCACTGCTCTACAACCACCAGCAAAGGGATCAGTCACTATGCAGCACTGCTCTACAACCACCAGCAAAGGGATCAGTCACTATGCAGCACTGCTCTACAACCACCAGCAAAGGGATCAGTCACTATGCAGCACTGCTCTACAACCACCAGCAAAGGGATCAGTCACTATGCAGCACTGCTCTACAACCACCAGCAAAGGGATCAGTCACTATGCAGCACTGCTCTACAACCACCAGCAAAGGGATCAGTCACTATGCAGCACTGCTCTACAACCACCAGCAAAGGGATCAGTCACTATGCAGCACTGCTCTACAACCACCAGCAAAGGGATCAGTCACTATGCAGCACTGCTCTACAACCACCAGCAAAGGGATCAGTCACTATGCAGCACTGCTCTACAACCACCAGCAAAGGGATCAGTCACTATGCAGCACTGCTCTACAACCACCAGCAAAGGGATCAGTCACTATGCAGCACTGCTCTACAACCACCAGCAAAGGGATCAGTCACTATGCAGCACTGCTCTACAACCACCAGCAAAGGGATCAGTCACTATGCAGCACTGCTCTACAACCACCAGCAAAGGGATCAGTCACTATGCAGCACTGCTCTACAACCACCAGCAAAGGGATCAGTCACTATGCAGCACTGCTCTACAACCACCAGCAAAGGGATCAGTCACTATGCAGCACTGCTCTACAACCACCAGCAAAGGGATCAGTCACTATGCAGCACTGCTCTACAACCACCAGCAAAGGGATCAGTCACTATGCAGCACTGCTCTACAACCACCAGCAAAGGGATCAGTCACTATGCAGCACTGCTCTACAACCACCAGCAAAGGGATCAGTCACTATGCAGCACTGCTCTACAACCACCAGCAAAGGGATCAGTCACTATGCAGCACTGCTCTACAACCACCAGCAAAGGGATCAGTCACTATGCAGCACTGCTCTACAACCACCAGCAAAGGGATCAGTCACTATGCAGCACTGCTCTACAACCACCAGCAAAGGGATCAGTCACTATGCAGCACTGCTCTACAACCACCAGCAAAGGGATCAGTCACTATGCAGCACTGCTCTACAACCACCAGCAAAGGGATCAGTCACTATGCAGCACTGCTCTACAACCACCAGCAAAGGGATCAGTCACTATGCAGCACTGCTCTACAACCACCAGCAAAGGGATCAGTCACTATGCAGCACTGCTCTACAACCACCAGCAAAGGGATCAGTCACTATGCAGCACTGCTCTACAACCACCAGCAAAGGGATCAGTCACTATGCAGCACTGCTCTACAACCACCAGCAAAGGGATCAGTCACTATGCAGCACTGCTCTACAACCACCAGCAAAGGGATCAGTCACTATGCAGCACTGCTCTACAACCACCAGCAAAGGGATCAGTCACTATGCAGCACTGCTCTACAACCACCAGCAAAGGGATCAGTCACTATGCAGCACTGCTCTACAACCACCAGCAAAGGGATCAGTCACTATGCAGCACTGCTCTACAACCACCAGCAAAGGGATCAGTCACTATGCAGCACTGCTCTACAACCACCAGCAAAGGGATCAGTCACTATGCAGCACTGCTCTACAACCACCAGCAAAGGGATCAGTCACTATGCAGCACTGCTCTACAACCACCAGCAAAGGGATCAGTCACTATGCAGCACTGCTCTACAACCACCAGCAAAGGGATCAGTCACTATGCAGCACTGCTCTACAACCACCAGCAAAGGGATCAGTCACTATGCAGCACTGCTCTACAACCACCAGCAAAGGGATCAGTCACTATGCAGCACTGCTCTACAACCACCAGCAAAGGGATCAGTCACTATGCAGCAC